TGTCGCCGAGATGAAGCTCACAGATGGGACACCATCAACAAAGCCACCTGATCACCACAGAGATGGTGATACCTGCGTTAAAATACCAGACGCGAAGAGCCGAGGAGAAGGCCGAACCAGTCACGTACAGGACCGGTCCGACCTGCCGAAAGAGGCGGAGCCGCGGGAAAACGCCTTGGGTTCGGACACCTATCAAGCAGCATCTGAAAAGAAGCTGGGCCGGCCACCAAGGAACCATATGGACTACTCTCGTGGGAATGGGCTCCAACCGAGCCAGAACCCGAAGCAACAGCTGGACCGGGAGAAGAGGAACAGGTACCCCCCTCGACCAGCCCTGCCGAAGGGCATCCACCGTGAACGCCTCGCAGGCGGGTAAGGGTGCCACATAAAATGGATGACGCCTAGACCACGCCAACTCGAAGACGTCCATGGCCAGGAGTCCATACGTCCGGCAGAGCCAACGAAACGAATCGGGAACGACTGGCCAATCTGCGAACAGAGGAATGAACCGAGACAGCTGTCCACCAGGACGCAGGACACACCCCGGACATGAACCTCACAGCCACTCTAAGGGACCAGCCCCAAGGACAAACACCTAAGAGAAACCCTGTGGTTCTGGCAAAGAACCGCCAGATAACAGTCCGAATGGAGCTGAATGGCAGAGCACCGAGTGACCCAAACCCTCCAAAGCGCAAACAGCCACGAACTCCTGAACCGTGCTGTTAGCCCGACGGACAGACAGATCCTACCATCCCCAGCCGACCTGGTGAGCACTGGTCACAAAGCACAGCAGAGAGATGACCCGTCCATGAACACATCAAGTGAAGGCTCGGGAAGGTGCCAAGGCATGGAACCACGAAAACCCCCAAAGAGGAAGCTGGTGACCCAGCACCAACACAAGATCCCCGAAGGAACCAAACAGACACCAAAGCCAAACCCGACCCCGCGTTCAGACCAGCATGTCGACATTCAGACTCCCACACAACTGCTCAAGCAACCGATGAGCAACCTGGGACCCCTCACGAACAGCCGAAGGGGGGACCATAGCCGCAGTAACACTTCTGGAGGGAAAGACAAGGAGTGGCCCAATAGCCCTAAACAAGGCCCAGGTCCGAACCCGGGACAGAAACAAATGGAACGACCTCCAGACCACCAGGAAACCAAACCCGGCAATCTGGAAAGAACCACACCCCTGGCGAGCAGACAAGTGGACCGACTGGGAGCCCACATCAGCCAGTCGTCGAGGTAGGGCAGACACTGAATCCCAAGGAGATTTAAACAGGGCACCAAGATCCGGTAAAGATGCGTAAATACACCAAGTGCCAATTACAAAATAGGGAAGGCAACAAAAGCGGTTAGCCTGAAGCCCCACCACCAACTGTGCCAGTCCCGGAAAACTGGAGAGGAACGTGCCAAGAATTGACCTGGAGGTCCAGGGCCACCATCCAGGCACCCGGCCCCAACAGAAGCCAGACAGGAGACAACAGTCCTCCGATGAGGGCATAGAATCTAGGGCGCAGACTGATGAAGCCCGGAAGAACCGCAGATTCGACAGGCCCATGTCTGCATAGAGCAGACGGGAACCCCAGAAGGATGGGGCGGATCGACCACGTCCAATGCACCCATGAAGATGACAAATCGAAGTGCAGGGGAAGAAGCCCACCCTGCCAGCCCTGAACCCCCAAAGGGGGGAGAAGCCGTTCACCGCCGCCACCAGAGGCCGGAAGACAACCAAAAGCGCCCACTAACTGTGGGACCATGCAAGAGTCAGCAAAGCAAGCTGCTCCCCCAATGCCCCATCAACAGAGAAGGGAACAGAGCCCCTTCCGAAAGAAAAAGTATACATACACATATATACATACATATTATGTATATACACCTACACATACATACACACAAGGTATGTTACACACACACGTATGTATGCACATACACATGAAAAGAAAATTACAAGCCGCCGACCAGTGAGCAGAGAGCACCACACCGGCCAGGCGAAGACGGCACAAAACTGCATCAAAAGGCCCACCTCGACAACAAAACCCCAAAATCCCAGCACGACCACAACATGTGCCAAGACCCAAAAAGATCAGTCTGCAAGCCAGGAAGACCCCGGAACCCCAGAAGGCAGATACGGTCACACATGAGGAAACAAAGTCCCCTGAACCCACAGAGGGGGCCCAAGAGGAAGAAACCTCCAGAACGAAACCAAAGAACCCAAAAGAACCCAGAATCAAACCAGGGGGAGCCCAAACCACCACATTTGCCGGCGGAGATACACCACAGAAAGGCAAAGCACAACCCAGACAGAACCCCCAGGGAAACGGTCAAAACAGACTGAAAACCGAGGGACAAGGTGTGGGAGCAAGCATAACAGACAGGGACACTGAGCCCAAACCCAAGGGCTCAGACCCAAAAGAGACAAAACGGAAAACCCAGTGTAAAATCAACACTCAAACGTTCCCAGAGGAACAGGAAACGGGCAGAAAACACCAGAAAAGCAAAGAAACGACAACAGGAGAATAAAACCCCTGAAAAAAGTGAAAAACTCACCCAAAATGCTCGCTCGCACACCCAGGCGCATGTAAACAAACCGCAACGGTGCCCTGGTGGCCACGCCGGGAAACTGGCAGAAGAAAATGACCACCAGAACAGAGGGCTGTGACTGACGCAAAAAATACAAAAACACACCAGCAAAAGTGGGAAGCAAGCAGACTTGGTGGGCGAAAAACTCAGCCCAGAAGCAGAAAACCCAGGCGGGGCTAACTGCCCCAGAACAGCTAGCAGGCATCCCCCACAGCCCCGGGAACTCACAACAGAGGCCCCGGGGCAGAGCCGTCCTCCAAGCCCTCCGCCCTTAAAGAAAAGCAAGAGTCCATGGGAAAGGCAGCAAGAAATTACCAGACCCAGAAGCCTTGGCAGGAGGAACAGGCTCAAAAACATCCATCCCTAACCCGAACGGGGCAGCCCCCGAAAACCGCTCGAGTCTTGGGCCCCAACTAAACCCCACCCCGACCCCAAAACCCGCAGACGATTGAGAGTCGGGAACAGGGAGGGAAAGGGGCGAACAGCACCTAACCAAAACGGGGCGGCCCTGGAGCATCCGAGTGGGAAACCAACCTAGCGTGTTGCAGCAACCTAACCTAGCTTGCAACACGGATGCCGCCTACACTCTGAACAGTAATAACATCAGGAGAGTACTGGAGAACAAGCAGAGAATCTCTCTGGCAAGACTCCGGGTCAAGGTGTCAGTGACCCAACAGGCAACATGATGGAGGTAAAAGTGGCGACTGTCACCCAGAGACAAGGGCACAGCAATCAACGATCCCATAGAAGACGGGTTGGGACCTGGAAGACACATACAATGGTCCACCGAGCTCCGACAGGGGTTTCCAGGGCCTGTAGGGGAAACAACTACGGGAAGCCCAGGCAAGGTGTTGCTAACCGTTTAAACACCCAAACTTAACAAGGGGTAGAGTATAACACTGACAACCCCTGCGATGTGTACAATCACGGGGGCCTAGCAGAGGGCCACCAAACACTACAAGTGGAACCATAGCCACACTAGGCAGACCCCCACCTGGCAAATGAAAATAAAAACAAAAGAAAAACCCCGCAAAATTAACCATCTCCAGAGGCAACAGGAACCGGTCGCCGCTTAGGTGGCAGGTTGCGCAACATCTTGACGCCCTAACCAGCACAATACCAGTCCCTACCCAGGGTCAAACAAGGTCCCCAAGCCCCAGCTGGCCTCAAGGGCGAGGCAAATGCCGAGCAGCAAGAACCTCTATGGGAATGGTTCCCGAATGCCCCAGGGAAGATAACCCTGTTACGCAAGGGCTGTACTCACAGGGCGCTTAGGGATGTCAGCCATTAAGCGCATGCAGCCCCGGCACTGATGAGGTACTCCTGGCCACCGCACAACACAACACACAGCAGTGAACGCCACGCAAGGCAAACACCGCCTAGGAAACTGAGACCAGAGAAGCGTCTATCCCGGTTGACATTAGCTAACGAACTGGTGCTAGGCAGCCAGTGCGGTAGGTCCGGGGCTCCCCCTTCCCCCTCTCAGGGCGGGGAGGGCTGCACAGACGATCGGCGCGGCAGTAAAGTGTGATGTTTGCTTGTTTCCTTGGGATTGTAGGGAGTTTCTACCTCTCTGTTCGATTTTTACCATGTGGGGTTTGTTTTGTTATGCCTACCTTTCTGGGTGCAAACCCCGGTCGCTGGCCGATAAGGAAAACCCCAACTACAAGGGGGTTTTCCAGGGCCAGTGCTCCCTGAAACCTCTCTGAAGGGGCCAGGTTCTGGCGCTGGTCCCTTGTAGGTCTGAACTCCTTAGCTAATGTCCTGGTCAAATATAATATACATTAGCCCAATAAGCTCCAGGGAGCCGTAGGGGTTACCCACAGAAAAATCAGGCAACTTTACAATTTCTATTTTGAATATCATCATTTCCACCATATCATTTGTAGTATTTTGCAGGTTGTGTATTTGAGTTTGTCTTTGATGTACAGGATACCCTACCCTAAAGCCAATATTGGTTTAGCAATGTATAATGAGGAATATTATACATTACACTATTCTTTATTTGTCTTAGATACTAACTAGCATGCTTTAAGAATGTCTATACTTTGTGTTCGAACCATGTAACCTACTATTGAGTTTTAGTTTTAGTAACCCCATCCTGGTTCTGCTGGAAAATAGAGTAAGTACTCTGTTTAAGATTGACTTCTTCTTTTGCTAACTCTAAATCACTGTAAATTCTCAAAATATGACTCAATTATTGATTGTTTTTAAATTGTAAAATCTTACTATGCTAAAATCTATTTTTTAAATCTTACTATTCTATCCATAATAATTTTACTGTTATTATCTACTGTACAGTACTATTATGAATGTATTATATGTAAATTCTTTACATATAACTTAATGTAACCTGAAAATTAAAAATATAAATATCAATTTAACATTATGCTTTATGTTAATGAGTTCTTACATACCTGAACTGCTTGTACAACTTGACCAGGCTCAATATTAGACCTGGATCTCAGCCTGCGGAACCTTCTGACAGCTATGGAAGGGGCCGCAGAAGTAGTGGAGGCAGAGGATTGGGTTAGATTGTCCTCCCGAGTTGCTTCACTAGAGTTTGCCACATTGAGATTACTTTTTCTCCATGGAGATTTATCCTTCTCCTTGCATGGGACTGGGGACTGTGCCTCTGCATCAAAAATAAAAGCAATGATAATATATCACCATTTAAATTAAATTTTAATCTAAATAAATTTTAAGTTTAATCAGTTGTATAATTGTTATTAAAGTGCCTTAATCACCCATTATATCACTACATGTATGTAGGTCACTAATCACTAATGTTTATTCTCATATGGAATATATTTGCCTTCTCCATGAGCAATTATCCTTGCACTCCTTTATTGTATTCTGCTTTTGCTTAAACCTCTTTTATACAGTATCATTAATAATATTTACTTAAAGTAAATTCAAAAGTAATCAGCTTGGCTGACTACTTTACTAAGTTGCATTGATTTATTTCTTCCACTTGAACCCATGCACTGCTTATGTAGCTGCACCCTTATTTGTCGGTCTGATCGAAAGTTCCTTGGCCTATACATAGACAAGAGACTCAGCTTCAGCACCTACATACAACTCATAACCAAGAAATTCTCAAAAACCATAGTTGAATGTAATGAAACGCCACTTTCTGGGTGAGACCTGGAGGCTTCCTGGAGCTAACCGGGCTGATACAAGTGTATTAGTCCCCTGCATCAGTCAAGCGAAAGATTTCTTAGGCCTACCAGAGACCACAAGCCAGAACCTGGCCCCCTCAGAGAGGCATGAGGAGCAATGGCCTATAGAAACCCCAGTGTGGTTTGAAGCATTCTATGTCTGCCATCGACTGGGTCAAGCGCCAAGAAAGGTAATTGCCCCAAAACAAACCTTCCAGTCCTGGTTAAGAAATTGTTACTGAAAGCCGAACTAGTGGACAGAACTCCCAAATGAAAACGAGCAAATGAGCATGACGTTACCAAACCAGGCCAGTCGTCGAGGAATGCCAGAACCCGAACACTTAATAAACGCAGGCGTGTCACCAAGACCCAAGTAAAGCGTGTGAAAATGCGTGGCGCCAGATTCAAGTTGAATGGAGGGCAATGAAAGTGGTAACCTTGATGCCCTACAACAAAACCGAGCCAGTCCCTGAACATCAGATGAATCGGGACATGCCAATATGCATCCTTGAGGTCCAGGTACACCTTCCAAGCGCTCGGCTCCAAGAGAAGATGGACCTGGGACAGAGTAGTCATCTGAAAGGAGGGATAATAAATCCATGGGTTCAGAGGAGACAAGTCCAGAATGAACCAGAGGTCTGCGTTGTCCCGTTTTGGGACCAGAAACAGGCGAGAAACCCACCTGAGAGACGAGATTGTTTCGACCATGCCCAAGCGAACCCACTCCGAGATGACTCGACAGAGCGCAGGAAAAGAGACCTGCCCTGCCAGCCCCGAACCCCCTAGAACCTAAGCGGTCATGGGGCAATCTCCGCAGACCAGAAAAAGACAGAACCAAAGACTGCGCCTTCCCCAAATCAGGCACCACTGGCCTATCACGAGAGGAAGAACCCCAAAGACCTGGCATGACCCTCAGCAAGGCAGAGACTGAACCGGTCATTGTCACCCCAAGACAAGGGGCCAGAGCAACTGTCAACCTCACGAAAGCAAGAGAGGACTCAAGGGTCACATCCATCGGACCACGGAGCTCCTGTGGGGTTTCCCAGGGCCCTTAGCCTTAGTACCATGCTAAAGGAAGCCCAGGCAGGGTACTGCGACCTGGAGCCTAAAACTACCGAGGAAACTTCTAAAAGCTGAACCCCCGGGACGTGTCCACTCATGGGTGCCAAGCAGGGGGTACCAAGTACCAAGATGCCTAGAGAAAGACCACCAGTTGTAGAAAGGGGGCAATTAAAGGCAAACCCCTTCCCCCACCAGGCAGAAACACAAAAACAAAAGAAAAACCCCACAAGAGAACAACAAACGCAGGCGGAACAGAGCCGGCCGCTATAATAGGTGATTATAACTAGCTGTGCTAGTTTTCCCCACGCCCCTACTAGTGGGGAAAACTACCGCCTACCCCCATAAGTGACTGTAACAGCCCCATAAGTGTAATTATGTACTATGCAGGACAGTCAGGAAATGTACTTATTACATTTAGTATTAAAACGTACTGTTTATTCAAAGGATGCGTTGGAATAGGGGTTTGTTTTTGGCGCTGATCTTTCTGGATGCCAGACCCGTCGATGACAGACATAGAATGCTCCCAACCACACGAGGGTTTCAATAGGCCATTGCTCCTCATGCCTCTCTGAAGGGGTCAGGTTCTGGCTCGTGGTACCTGGTAGACAAGAACTCCATGCACTTTGACTGGTGCCAGAAAGCTAATAGTTAAGTATCAGCCTGGATAGCTCTAGGGAGCCAATGGAGCTCCCCCCCCCCCACCATTCCTCCAGAATACCAGCGTTGAATGTAATGAAATGCCATTTTCTGGGTGAGACTGGAGGCTTCCCACAGCAATCCGGGCTGATATGAATGTATTAGACCCTGGCATCAGTCAATGCTCATGGAGTTCTAGGCCTACCAGGGGACCACGAGCTAAAACTTGGCCCCCCCCCCCCTCCCTCAGAGAGGCATAAGGAGCAATGGCCTATAGCAACCCCGTGTGGTTGGGGGCATTCTATGTTTGCCATCGACCGGGTCAGGCACCAAGAAAGGTAATTGCCCCAAAACAAACCCTCTCTGGTTAACAAATTGCTACAGAAAGCCGAGCTATTGAACAGTAGTGGAACCCCGGGTTACGAGCGTCCCTGTTTACATGTTTTTCGGGTTATGAGCCTGATTTGTTCGGAAAATTTGCATCGGGATACGAGCATTGCATAATGTAACAAGTTTGTTGATACGCATACAGGCCGACCTAGCGCGTGGTGGCACGGGAATCGTGCCCAGTGACTATCATGCCTGAATTCTTCACAAGGATTTACAGTTTTTTGTTGGATATTTGGCCATTTGAACATAAAAATTGTTTTAATATATCTCGCAATGGGTCCCAAGAAAGCCAGCGGTAAGATTCAAGGCAAGAAATGACATGTGAGAATGACCATAGAGGAAAAACAAGAGATCATTCGTAAGCATGAAAATGTTACTCGTGTTGTTGAACTAGCTTGGCAGTACAACAAATCTTCAGGGGGAGGAAGAGAAGGCAGTAGAGAATGTCTCTTCTTCATAAATTAAGAAAATGTTTGCAGTATGGGAAGGACTGCAAAGTTTTGCTGAAAAGAATCAACCAGATAAAGATGTAGTAGGCCATTACATTGATCTTTTTAATGACAATGTGATGCCTTACTACAGACAAGTGTTGCAAAGAAGGGAAAAACAATCTTCAATGGAATGTTTCCTTGTGAGAAAAGTGAAAAAATTAAGCAGTGAGCAGTTACCAGGACCTAGTGGTATGCAGGCAAAACATGTCAGAGAGTGCACTCCAGAGAAATCTTCACTGCCTGATGTTATAATGGAAGGGGACTCCCCTTCCAAACAGTAACACCTCTCCTCCCCCTCATCACTATCTTCCATATGCCAACAGAAGTCATCAGCAAGGTTAAGTACATACTTGAACATACTTTTGTAGTGTAGATTTGGATGAATTAGGTATAAAATTTAGTTTGAAGTGAGGTTTTTGGGTAGTAACAAACAGATTAATTCATTTCCTATTATTTCTTATGGAGAAATTAGATTCGGTTTTCGGGTTACGAGCTGTCTCCAGGAACGGATTAAACTCTTAAACCGAGGTACCCCTGTACTCCCCAAACTAAAATGAGCGAGTGAGTGTTGCTGATGCTTGGACAACCCGATCCGAAACAGAAGAAAACCTAGGAAGGGACAAGAAATAACAAAAGGACCACCAGGAAACTTCATACTGCTGCCGAGACGAGACACGCAGATGGGACACCATCAACGAAGCCACCTGCCCCCCATACAATTGGTAACAGACCCGCGTCGGAAAGACCAGATGCAAAGACATGAGGAGAAAATTGAACCAGCTTTGTAACGGACTAGCCTGGTCTGCTGAAAGAAGCGGAGCTGCGGGAAAATCCCCGGGGTTCAGATACCGAGCAAACAGTGCCTGAAACCAAAGTTGGGCCGGCTATCAAGGGGCCAAGAAGAATACTCTCCCTCGATAAGTCTCCAAGCAAGCTAGGACCTGGAGCAACAGTGGAACCCGTGGGCAGAGATACAGGTAACCCCACCTTGACCAGTCCTACCTGAAAGTACTGATACCGATGGCCTCACAGTCGGGGATGGGCGCCACATACAACGGGAGATGCCACGACCATGCAGCAGTCTCAGAACCCGTACCCCCTAACAGAAGCAAACAGGCCACCATGACCCAGGTAAGGCATGTGAACATGCGAGGTACCAGATTTAAGCTGAATGGAAGGCAACGAAAGTGGTAAGCCTGATTCCCCACAACAAAACCTAGCCAGTTCCTGAACCCCAGATGAATCAAGACATGCGAATATGTGTCCCGGAGGTCCAGGGACACCGCCCAAGCTTCCAACTTCAAAAGAAGACGGACCTGGGACAGAGTAATCATTCAAAAGGAGGGGCAATAGACCCAGGGATTCAGATGGGACAAGTTCAGAATGAACTGCAGGTCTGCACAGTCCTGTTTCAGAACCGGAAACAAGCGGGGAAACACACCTGAGGGATGAGGTCGTTTCAAACACACCCAAGCAAACCCACTCCAAGATGACCCAACAGAGGCCCAGCCAGCCCTGAATCCTCCAAAGGCACCCAACGCCACCGCAGGCCACAAGAAACGACCTGAAACACACCCACGAATCGTGGGACCAGGTGTGAGCAAAAAGCGCGGCCTTCCCACTATCGCCCTGTCAATGGGGTGAACGGCAAAAGGGCCTATGCCCCTTATGAGAAACCGACCAACAAGCAGAGCGATTACTGGGCCAACCAGTGATCGTCGGTTCCGAAAGCTGCGCTGGCTTCGAAATGGCACCACTGGCCTACTACGACGGGAGGAACCCCGAGTCCTGGCACTGAGGGCCCCCATCCCCCACGGGCACCCCAGAGAACCAACATGGGACGACAACTAGAAGAGGCCGCTTGCAGATACTGCATCACCTCAGACTCTGCAGACAGCATAAGGACAAAAAGGCATCGAAAACCTAAGAGCCAGGGCACATGCGGATTCCACAAACTGAGTGAGCACTGCCTGCCGGCACGCGACGAGAGATGTAAAGAACTGACACACTATCACCTACAGGATCGGCTGAAACAGCTTTAACAGTACAGCCGAAGCCCATACTGCCGAAACCAGCGCACCCGACCCAGCATCGGCCCCAAGCGCCTCCACGTCCTCCTCACGCCAGTCCAAAGACAGCTCGAGAAGGGAAAAGAAATGTTAGACCGAAATCAAGTGGCCATGGGCGTGCAAGTCCTCAGCAACCAGGGCAGTCGAAAGGGAGGGGACCTGCACAGGAAGTTGTACAAGGCCGACATCCCGAGGAAGGGCAGGGGCGAACGGACACGCATTGAGGTGCTCAAACTCACACCCCCAAGTAAGCCTTTACAACCGTAAGGGCCTCTCACCACTCAAGCATGTGGGGACCGACAGAACGTATGCCACGCCCCCCAACGAAAAGACACCGGTAGACAGTCTGCTAACCAGGATGACTCCGGAACCTCGTAACAAACCCTGTAAGGAAAAGAAGAATCGAATTCGAAAGAGACAGGATCTATCATCGAGGTGTAATGCAGGTTGCACAGGAGGTAAGTCGCACCTCATGCGGCAGGACGCGGGAGGCCGAAAACCTCCGAAAAGAAGAAAATGAAGTACCCTAGGGAATCTGGAACTGAATCTGGGGAGTAGTTGATGCCATATCAAACTCGTGCAAGAAGGGAGGATAAGAAAATCCAACCCCTTGCAACAAGAAGCCCCGCCCAGAGGGTAAAAAACCCAGGTGGGGTTAAAAGGGGCCCAAGCCCCTCAAAGTCAACCCCATCCCCCGCCCTGAGAACCTCCTCATCAGGACCCGGGGCCGAGTCATCCTCCAAACCCCCTGCCTCAAAAGAAAAGGCAGAAGAAGAAGGAAAAGCTGAACCGAAGAGGGCCTACTGGTCAGACCCAGAAGCACCGGCTGGAGGAACAGACTCGAATGCCTCTGTCGTCACACTAGATGGGGCATCCCCTGAAACTGCCCGAGTCTCGCCACCAATTCTGAAACCCTCAGATGCTTCAAAGTCAGAAGCATGGAGAACAGGACGATCAACAGCACGGGAAGGACCCGGGGGTGCAGATGAAACCAAAGTCGAAGCGACTACCACCCTAAGTCTGGGGTCCCTATAACCAAAATGGGGCAGTCGTGGGGCATCTGGGTGAGCGACCAACCTAGCGCGCTGCAGCAACCTGTGATGTGCATGCAACACCAAAACTGCTTGCATCCAAAGATCAATATCAGTGGACTGGGTGATCTGGAGAACAAGCAAGACACCACTCGCACGACTTGAAGGTGTCAATGACCCAACAGGCAGCATGACGGAGGCAGAGCAGGTGATTGTCACCCTGAGACAAGGAGACACAGCAACCTTCAAACTTGCAATAGGCGACATGGGACCCAGGGGACGTATTTATTGGACCACTGAGCCACAGTGGGGTTTTCTAGGGCCCTGAGACGTATTGCTAAGGGAAGCTCAGGCAAGGTACTGCAAACCGACACCCCAAACTACCAAGCAAACAACTAAAAGCTGAGGCCCCAGGATGTGTACACACACACTGGGACCTAGTGGAGGACCACCAAGAAAACAAGAAATAAGAGTGGTAACAACCAAGGGCAGACCCTCCACCAGGCAGAAAAAAATAAACAAAAAACCCTGTTCGAGTACAACGTACCCAGGTGGAACAGAGCCGGCTGCTATCAGGTGAAGAACAGCTGCGCAGTACCTTGCACCCCTACCAGTGACGAAACTACCTCCTACCCTGGTCGGTAGGCCAAGTGGACAGCACACTGGACTTGTGATCCTGTGGTGCCGGGTTCGAACCCAGGTGCCAGCGAGAAACAATGGGCAGAGTTTCTTTCACCCTATGCTCCTGTTACCTAGCAGTAAATAGGTACCTGGGTGTTAGTCAGCTGTCACGGGCTGCTTCCTGGGGGTGGAGGCCTGGTCAAGGACCGGGCCGCGGGGACCCTAAAAACAAAGACCCGAAATCAACTCAAGATAACCTCAAGATAACCTACCCAGAGGCAGAGGCCAATGAAGCACCCTAGCTGACTCCAAGAGCGGGCAATCACTGAGCAGAAAAAGACCTTGGCAGAGGCAGCTCCCAAGCGACATGTGGAAGATAACCCCAAGCTACAAGGGTAGTAGTAGTACTTACAGGGCACCTAAGGAAGGTAACCCTAGGTGCATGTAGCCCGAGTATTGTAGAAATTACTCTTGGCTCGGACACCACGACAGGACAGGACCACACAAAGCACAGCACTGAATAGAAGCTGGAGCCAGAGTCGTACGACTGCCTAGATCACACATCGGCATCAGAACTTGAGTGTGGATAACCACTGCAGGGGCCTGGAGCTTCCCCTTCCTCCTCCCGGGGAGAGGGAATCTGCTCAGACAGCGGCGCGGTGACGGTTGTGATGTCATACTCATTTGCTCAATTTCGTTTGGGGAGTTCTGTACAATAGTTCTGCTTTTTGTAGCAATTTGTTAACCAGATAGGGGTTTCTTTTGGGATGCCTACCTTTCTGGGTGCCTGACCCGGTCAATGGCAGACATAGAATGCTCCAAACCACACGGGGGATTCTATAGGCCATTGCTCCTCATGCCCCTCTATGAGGGCCAGGTTGGGGTCCTTGAGGTCCTGCCAATTTTGCATTAGCAGGACTCAAGATCCAACCAAATTGCATGCATTACATTTATTTACCCATAGGAAAAGGGATAATAGACACAAGGAAAAACCTCACTCACCAGATTAACAAATACAGTTCTCGACATTCAGATATAAAAGGAGGTCAATAACCTCACACAGTGAGGCGAGCACCTCATGAGCACACACCACACAACCTGAGTGTGTGGAGTCTCAGCACTCTCTGTCATGGATTGCAGGAACGCTTCTCTCACAGAAACGAGCAGGGAAAACTTACACAGAAGATTTACTCATTTACTCATACATACTCTCAAACACAAATGAAACAAAAATTAATACAAATAAAACAAACTGGTATTTTAACTAAGAGAGACATTTATATTAATAACTCCAAAAGATAAACTTTATATACCAATGATTACAACCTGCGAACACGACTGCCTCTGGGAGCTTCCTACACAGGCGAACACGACTGTGTCTGGGAGCTTCCTGGGCGAATACTTTCTGGTGATGTCATGCCGTATATTCACTACGTCGTCACAGCCAAAGTGTTTTTTTTTTACGTGTGCATGTTCAGGGAAGGGACTTTAACAATATTGAAAGAAAAAAATACTTTGGGAACACTTCAATTTTGGCGCACCACCAGATTGTCACAATAAAGGCCACGCAGCACAAAGGTCAAAGCTCATCGACACAATTTTCAATGTAAATCACTAAGGAGTAGTATATTTGTTGCAAGGAATTGGTAAGAAAAGACCTACAGAGCAGTTGTATGCTGGTTTTTGATCATGCAATATGAAAGTCATGTAAAATTTACACATAATACTACTAGTAATCTCTTAAATATATTTAAATAACCAATGTAATTTTTATGCTAGATTGTCTAGCATATTAATAATGCTAAGACTTAAGACAGACTATTTAAAACTGACACACACAAAAAGTAGAAAACTACAAAATCATCACTACAAAGAATTTGCTGGACGTAACATTGCTTGCCGAGGCTCAATTTTTCAAACTGAGGCTCAAATAACACTTACTTGAGGCTCATTTTTCAAGAGAGCCACTTTCTGAACCCACCTCCACCCCCTCCCCAACATTAGCCACTGTCTGAACCTAGTTCCACCCTCCACAACACAGGGAATGCCAAATAGGTCTGGCCTACAGTAATGAATATCAGGATGTCTTTTTCAATATCATAAATAATATAATGAAATGTGTGAAATATAATTCATATATACATGAAAGGTTCATAAAAGGCATTTAGGAAATGCAAAATGCTAGAAAATAATGTATAATCAGCTACCTATATGGAATTTCCAATAGGAAATATGGGATCAGAGAGGTAGGAAGACATTTCTTCATAAGTGCAGTAGAGGCCACTCACCTTCTATGGCTTCCATGGCACGCACCACGTCTGTCTTTTCTACTGAAGGTCTCCAGTCCTGATAGACGCGTCGGTATCCTCCCGTACCTCCAACACCAATTCCTCCTTGTCTTTCATGGTCTTCTGATTGCTGATCTTCTGGTAAGGTTCCTAAGGAGGCAACACCACCAGTCACACTGCCACCCATACCACCACCTTCGTCTATGTGAGGCATTACGAATGGCGGGATGCAAAACCGGGAGAAGGTAGAAACAGGTGATGAGCCAATATTGAAATTAAAAGTATATTGTACATTGTAAAGGAGAATAAGGCTTTGGTTTACTAAGAAAAATGAAAAGAAAAATAATTGGTGAGATAAAGGAAAACAAGAAGATAGTAAAAAGAGCACATAGAAAGGGAATGAGGTGGGAGTAATTTGATGAATATTTGAGAGGCACAGAAAGAAGAGCAGCAGTAAGGAAATAATGGTGGAAGCCAGAATCTGAAGAAGGGAAAGGCAGAGGATAATAAAGCAAAGAGAATGAAGAAAGAAATTCACAACATTATAAAAGAAAGAACATGAAAGAGGAAAACTCCCTGGATGGTGAAGGTAGGAGAATAAATTAAGATTACAGAATAGCAGAGGAAGGAGACTAGAGGAGGTAAGATCACAGGATGGTGAACAAGACTTAAGGAGGCAAGATCACAGGATAGTGAACAAGACTAAAGGAGGAAAGATCACAGGACGGTGAATGAGATTAAAGGGGGTAAGATAACAGGATGGTGAATGAGACTAAAGACACGCGGACCAGCTAAGAGCCCACACCAGCCAGTCGTCGAGGTAGGTCAAAACACAAACACCTAACAGAAGCAAGCAGGCCACCACGACCCAAGTAAGGCGTGTGAAAATGTGAGGTGCCAGACACAAACAGAATGAAAGACAAAGAAAACGGTAACTCTGATGCCTCACAACAAAACCGAGCCAGTTCCAGAACCAAGGATGAATCTGGACATGCCGAGACGTGTCCGCAAGGTCCAGTAACACCATTCAAGCATCCGGCTCCAACCGAAGACAGACTTGGGACAGTGTAACCATCCAAAGAAGGGACAAAAACCCACGAACCAGAGGGAACAAGACCAGAATGAACCAGAGGTCCATGCAGGCCCGTGTCGGGACTGGAACACGCGAGAACCCACGGGGGGAATGAGGTAGTATCGACCACGCCCAAACAAACCACTCCGAGAAAAACCTGATAGAGCGCAGGAGAAGAGGCCTGCGAAAGAACCAATGCACCTATGAGTACCCAATTGGTACACAGGGCGATCCCCCTGTTGAACAGAACAGAAGGCCCGAATCCGGCACCACTGGCCCACCACAATGGAAGAACCCCGAGCCCTGGCACGACCCTTCCGGGAAGGTCCCCCCACAAGCCTCCCTGGAGGACTAACAAATCCGACATAGGACGGCAACGAGATGAAGCTGCCTGCAGATACTGTACAACTGCAGACTCTGCAAACAGCAACAACCAAAAAGGCAAAGAAAACCGAAGAGCCAGGGCCCAAGCAGATTCTAGGGAAGGAGCGAGCACTGCCCATCGACAGAACAGATGCCATGCCTCCAACTAGAAAAGAAGGCAGTCTGCGAACCAGGATGACCCCGGAACTTCATAACGAACCCAGTAAGGACAAGAAAGTCCATTCACCCTGAACACGGAACCACTACGAAGGCGTAAGCCGGGTCACGCAGGAGGTAAGCCTCAAGGACATCTTGCACCACATGGAACTGGATGTGGGAAGCTGAAAACCTCTGGAAGACGGAACCGAAGAACCCACGGGAGCATGGACTCAAACCTGGGGATGGGTAGAACTCCAAAGCCAATGCGTAACTGGAGAGAGAGAGAGAAGAGAAAACCACTCCTTGCAACACCAGGCCCTGCTCGAAGGGTACAAAATCCCCGGAAGGATCCAATGGGGTTCAAGGCCCCCAAGGCAACCCCTGCCCAGCCCCGGGAACCCCACTCCGAGGACCCGGAGCTGAGCCGGTCCCCAAAGCCCCAGCCTCACAAGAAAAAAAACCTAAGGAAGGAGGGCCCACTGGTCAGATCCAAATGCATCGGCAGGAGGAACAGGTTCGAATGCCTTCCCCACCACCCCAGAAGGGGGACAAACCTGAAACCACCCAAGTCTCAACACCAACGAGATCCTGCCCCATCTCTGAACCTGTTGATAGGTCGGAGCCGGAAGCAAGTGAGGGGGGGGGGGTGAAAGGATGCAGAACAGAAAGGGAAGGAAGGACGGAAGGTACCAAAGTCAAAACGACTCCCATCCCAAAGTCAAGGTCCCTAAAACCAAAATGGGGCAGTCTTGGGGCATCCGAGGAAGCAACCAACCCATCGCGTTGTAGCAACCAGAATCTAGCATGCAGCACAGTTGCTGCCTGCACCCTCAGATCATGATCAGTAGCGATGGTAAACTGGAGCACGTACCAACAACAAATGTCGTACGACTCCGAGTCAAAAGAATCACTGACCTAACAGGCAGCATGGCGGAGGCACACCCAATGAAAGTCACCCTGGGACAAGGGGACAGAGCAACCATTAACCTCACACGAAGCAAGGGGGACTCAAGGGCCACATCCATCAGACCACAGAGCTCCAGCTGGGTTCCTAGGGCCCTTAAATGTTCAAAATTCAATTTCAAATGATAAATGATTATTCAGGTAAAGTACATGCATACAAGGTGTGATACAAATATTGATGAGTTATAGATAGAGCTAGTACATACAATGCCTAAACCCACTATTACGCAAGCGTTTCGGGCAGTTAGCCTTGGTAACCTTGGCAACCTTGGGCAGTTAACCTTGGTAACATGCTAAGAAAAGCCCAGGCAGGGTACTGTGAACCGGCGCCCAAAACTACCAAGCAAACTTCTAAAGCTGAACCCCTGGGATGTGTCCACTCACGGAGGTCAAGCAGTGGGTACCACCAAAAACACAGATAGATATTATTTATATATTATTTATTACATATTATATATATATGAGAAGGACCATAAAGATAAAGAGGAAGCAACCAATCAAGGGCAGAAACCACCCCAACCCACCCCACCTGCCACCTGGCAGGAAAAACAAAAAAGAAAAACCACGCAATGAGACAATGTACCCAGGCGGAACAGAGCCGGCTGGTAAAATAGGTGATAACTAGCTGTGCAGTACCCCGTGCCCCAAATGGTGACAAAAACAACCTCCTACCCAGAGGCAAACAAGGGCAACAAAACCCCAGCTGACTCCAAGGCCAAGTACCGAGCAGTAAAAAACACAGCGGAGGTAGACTCCAAGGTGACTTGTGGAAGGTGGGCCCAAGCCCCAAGGGCAGTACTTACCAGGCACCTAGGGAAGGAAACCCTAGGCACATGCAGCCCGAGAACCAAAGAATATTACTCCTGGCTCACACACCAGACAGACCACGCCACAAGGCACAGAAAATGAAACCAAAGCAGGAGCCAGAGGCACATGACCTACCAGTATCACTTCAGCCAAGAACTGGTGGGTTGATCGCCAGTGCTAGGGTCTGGGTGCTCCTCCTTCCTCCTCCTGGGGAGGAGGGATGTTGCACAGACAGCAGCGCGGCAGCATGATGACGTCATGCTCATTTGCTACTTTTTTTGGGAAGTTCTGTCCACTCCTTCGGCTTTCGGTAGCAATTTTTCACCAGAATAGGGGTTTGTTTTGGGGCGCCTACCTTTTTGGGTGCCAGACTCAGTCGATGGCAGACATAGATTGCTCCCAACCACACGGGGGTTTCTATAGGCCATTGCTCCTCATGCCTCTCTGAGGGGGCCAGGTTCTGGCCGTGGTCCCCAGTAGGCAAGAATTCCATACACTTTGACTGATGCCAGAAAGCTAATAGTTACACATCAGCCTGGATAGCTCCGGGAAACTGACAGGGTTCCCCCCCAGAAAGACCAACAATTACAAGCTCGACAAACCACAATGTAGGACTGAGAACAGGAGATGCTTTTTCACCCACAGGGTTATATACTAATGGAAATGCCTACCTACCAAAGCCATAAATGCCAAGACTGTTGAATTGCAAAATCCAAATGGAAAAAGCAAATGGGGGAACCTTCGACAAGTCGCTGCTTTCCTGTTCTCAATGAGGCCACTAATGTCAGTTTCCCTCATGTAAATTCAGGTAAATATGGGAGAGGAGAAAGGTAAATATAGGAAGGGAAAAAGTAAATATGGATAGCAGAAAAATATATATGGGGAGAGGAAAAGAGAATACAAGGAAGGGAAAGGTAAATATGATGAAGAGAAAGGTAAATATAGTTAGTGGGAAGGAAAAATATGAGGAAGAAAAGGGAATAGAAAATATGCAGAAATGATTGTTGTGATATTTTTATTAGAGAGAAAAAACCAGCATTGAATGTAGTGAAACGCCATTTTCTGGATGAGACCCAAAGGCTCCCTGGAGCTATACCGGGCTGATGTGTATATATTAGACCGTGACAACAGTCAATCGATGGAGTTCTTAGCTTATCAGGGACCACGAGCCAGAACTTGGCCCCCCTCAGAGAGGCACGAGGAGCAATTACCTATAGACACCCCCATGTAGTTGGAAGCAGTCTATGTCTGCCATCTACCAGGTCAGGCGCCCAGAAAAGTAGAAATCTCAAAACAAACTACAGCCCGTTAAAAACTATAAGCCGAAAGTCGAACGATCAGGCAGAACTGCCTAATCAGAAAACAAGCAAACAAGCATGATGTCACCACAGTCACTACACCACTGTCTGCACAGCTCCTCCCTCCCTGGGAAGGGGAAGGAGGAGCCCCAGACCCCCTGCGCTGGCTATCCAACCCCAGTTCAGAGGCTGAATATAAAAAACGCGATAAAAACGAGCGTTGAATGTAATGAAATGCCATTTTCTGGGCAAGACCCAGAGGCTCCTAGGAGCTATCGAGGCTGATATGGATATATTGGACTTTGGCATCAGTCATGTGAATGGAGTTCTTAGGCCTACCAGGGACTACGAGCTAGAACCTGGCCCCCTCTGAGAGGCACGAGAAGCAATGGCCTTCCAACCCCGGTGAGGTTGGAAGCATTCTATGTCTGATATCGACTGGGTCAGGCACCCAGAATGGTAAGCGCCCCAAAACAAACCCCTAATCTGGTTAAGAAATTGCTACTGCAAGTGGACAGAATTTCCCAAATGAAAATGAG